CGCAAGATCAACCTGCACGAGCCAAACATCAATGGTCTCTGCACCACCTGTCGCACACCTACTGTGAGCCACACAGAGCAAGTCGAAACAGAGTACGCGGCAATTCAGGAAGCGGAGAGCGCCGAGACAGAACCCACAGGCATGGCCGGACAAGAACTCGCTGTGTCATCTTACCGCATCTTCGGCGAACCATCCAATGACCTCGGACGTCAGCAAGCGGAGCGAACATACTCCGACAACCTCCGGTTCGTCCTAGAAGCTAACACCACCCCCTTTGATGCAGACGGACGACCGCGCCCATACACCCGCAAAGTTTACCGCCGTGAAATTGATCCAGCTTGGAAGGATCCTGACGCAAAAGGGGAGCTGAGCGTTAAGGAAGAACAAGACAAGGCTCGAGCGGAAAAGAAGCAGAAACTGTATGAGCAACGCGTCGCGGCTGGATGGGAAGAAGAGTTAGCACGAAGAGGCGCATGGGGAGACGAAGATTAAGAACCAGAAGGAGGCGGGCATCTGCCACTGGAGCATGGGGAGACAGCACTAGCGGCACGGTCACCACGGGAGGGTGAGGATCAGCCGAACCTAACGAAGGGGAGCTCACGCAAGAAGAGTTGGAGGAAGCTGAGCGGGAGATGAAGGATGAGCGCGGAGAAAAATCACCCTGCGTAGCCATTCCTCTCGGATGACCTCCACGCACTCGTGAACTCCCTCGCTCACCTCATCGTTGGAGCGATCCCTGGTTGGAGATTGAGGAGGGGAATATACCACCAACTCCTCCGCGGGACTCACTTGGTCCAATCTCCCGCCTAGATCCGTTTGCTCGTTTCATTGAAGGCACCACGACCCCGCTCACCATCATCCCCGACCGTGAATTTCGCACTCACTATCTCACAACGGCACCTCCAAAAGGGGAGACAACGGCAGGAGCAGAAGCAGAGGAGCCGGACAACGAAGCGAAACCAGGAGAAGAGGAAGAACCCCCACTCCAGATCCAGCAACTTACGGAAGAAGAAGTAGCAAAACATTACGCTCGTTACAAGCGCACCTCTGGCATTCGCGCCGAAGATGACCTCTGGCATCAGCGACTGGGGCAACCCTCGCGCCAAACCCTCACTAACTGCCTTCGCGCTAAGGTTTTCCCGCCAGGAGCATTGCTACGCCCCGACGGATCAGAACCACACAACACTCCTCACCCAATCTCTTGCACTATCTGCCCCACAGCTGCGCTCTCCCACAGCGCCTACCCCTCTCTGGAGCCAAGCACCAACCGCTACAAAAAGCTAGAGAAAGTATACAGCGACTTCATAGTGCTCACCTTCGACGGCATCAACTGCGAGAGGTATACTCTCACCTTCATCGACGCCTACTCACGCCACGTGTGGGTCACCAACGTCGACACACGCGCAGCGACAGTCAGGAAGGAAGCTGAAGATATGGCAGAGTGATGGGGCCAAGGAATTCCGCAGCAACGAACTGGAGAGCGTTCTTACCGAGAAAGGAATAAAGCATGAGATTTCTCTCCCCTACGCTCATCAGCAACAAGGCGTCGCAGAGAGGGTCCATCGCACCCTCATGACAAAAGTCCGCACCCTCATGAACCAGTCCGGCCTGCCAAAGAAGTTTTGGCCCTATGCCATGAACCACGCGGTGCGCCTGCACAACCTCCTCTCCACCACCGCCAACAGGGACAACCTATCCCCTCACATGAAGTGGACCGGCTCAAGGGGAGACCCCTCCATGCTGATGGTTTGGGGGTGCATGGTGCAGTACCGGCCGACTTCGGCCACAATCGGCAAGTTCATTCATCGTGCACGCTGGGGAATCCACCTGGGGCTCAGTCACGAGCACAAAGGGTGGCTCATTCTTGATATTGATAGTAAGGAAATTGTTCCCACGCGGGACATTCTCTTCTACGAGCGGCTCACCTTGAAGCAGTGGATCAAGGATGAGCGACGCAACGAGGCACGCGGCTACGTCAACAGCGGTCGCAGCTTCGCCACTCCAGAAGACGAAGCAGTAGCAGCAGCACTGGACCGCGACGACACTGACGAACATCCCATCATCCCGCCTCGCCCGCGCGACGACGACGACGATGATGACAGTGATGATGACCCCGCGCCAGGACCATCACGGCACCAAACAGAGCCAAGCACCGCACACCCGGCTACGAAAGCGGAGACGACGACATGGTGGAAGTCACCACCAACACAGACACCACCAATGTGTCAGGTCTTCAACTCCTCGGCCTGCATACGTCCGTCACCACCCTCGCACGGGCCGTGGAGCCCAAGAACCCTCGCCAGGCCCTAACCGGCCCTCACGCCAAGAAGTGGCGCGCTGCGATGGATGTAGAACTAAAGGCGCTGGAGTCTCAAGACACATGGGTCCTAGTCGATCGTGCAGCAGTGAAGGGGAGGAGGGTACTCAGCAAAAAATGGGTTTTTCGCCTCAAAACTAATGCTGACGGCACCATCGAGCGATTCAAGGCACGCTGGGTCATACGTGGGTACGATCAGCGCCACGGCATCGACTTCGACCAAACATTCGCTCGCATCAGTCGCCACACCTCCGTCCGGATTCTACTCGCCATTGCCGCTGCTAAGCACTTGCCACTGCGATAGATTGACGTGAAGAACGCATTCTTATACGCGTTGGTGGACGCTACCATCTTCGTGGAGCAGCCTCACACCTACGGAGAAGGGGATCCTAGGGTCTGTCAACTGAAGAAGTCCCTCTACGGGATCAAGCAGGCGACTCGTCTCTGGCAGCAGCATCTGCACAAAATCCTCCTCGAGATCGGTTTCAAGCAGCTTCCACACGACTCAGGGACGTATCGCCTTCACTTCTGCGGCGATGACATCCTCCTGACAGTCTATGTCGACGACCTGCTGTATACGGGTACCTGCAACAAACTCCTTGACCAGTTCGAGGAGAACCTGGCGCAGCGCGTTGACATCACCATCAGTCACAACGTGAAGCAGTTTTTGGGGCTGAACATCACCTGCACGCCAGAAGCAATTCACCTGTCATCCTCCAATTACGCAGAGCAGCTGGGAGAAAGTTTCAACATCTCTCCTGCACCACTCTCAACTCCCTACCGCAACCCCAGCACCAACTACAAACCGGACAACAAACCACTATCACCCGAAGGACTCCAACTGTACCAGCAGCAACTGGGTCGCCTGCTGTTCGCCTCTGTCATCTGCCGACCCGTCCTTTCGTACATCGCTAGCCAACTGGCGCAGTATTCTCGCAAGCCAGTAGCTGAGAACCAGCTGGATCTGGAGCGCGCCCTGCAGTACTTCATCTCCACACCTGACATTGGGCTCTCCTACTCCACGCTGACGACAACCTCCTTCAACCTCAACGGCTACGTGGACGCAGATCCTACAGCTGACCCTGAAAATTGGCGATCCCGAACCGGCTTCGTTTTTCGCCTGGAACCTACTGGGCCAATCTCCTGGAACTCACAGAAGCAGGAGCTGGTTGCCCTGTCATCGGCTGAAGCAGAATACATCGCCGCAACAGCAGCAGTTCGCGAAGGGCTGTACATGCAGGGGCTGCTACAGGAGGCGAAAATTCCAACATCGCCCACCTTTCGCCTTCACCGGGACAACCAGAGTGCCATCAGGATCGCAAACAAGCCAGGTTTCGTGAATCGCACGAAGCACATCGCACTTCGGTACTTTTTTCGTCAAGGACGAAATTGACCAAGGAAAAGTTGACCTCGCCTACTGCCCGACTACTAAGATGGCAGCAGACTTCCTCACCAAGCGTCTGCCACGTCAGCAGTACACGCACTGCTCTGACCTCACCGGAGTGTTCAAGCGAGTCAGCTCCTCCTGCACATAGGAATGAAGGGGAGTGTTACGATATGATGCTTTATGAGAAGGCATTTCTGTATGCTGCAGGAGCCGAGTCTACCGAGTACGAAGTCGAGGAGTTAGAAGAGTCGAAGCGACGCAGCAACCGTCTGACCAAGATCGATGCAGGCAGAAACATCTGAAGTGAAAAGAGCGGGAACAGGTTCAAAACGGGTTCCTGCGCCGCACGGTTTGAATTTGCTGTAATAATGGAATGTACCCCTTAGAGTACATGGCTAGTCTATGTCTTTTCGTATTCCCCTGTATTCTTATATAAACTCGATGTATGCATGCTTTTATCAACTCAGTCATTTACATTCCCTCTTACCTGCGATTCAAACTTCCGCTGCAATACTATTCTGCGATCAATCCTGAGCGATCCTTCGCCAAGTCCCACTTGGGATTGTAACATCTTGATATGAGGATCTCTTGATACGAGGATAGGAATACGCTCTAAGGAGCACCTCACTACAACCTATCACAAATATCAACATTTGGCACATCTCCACGTGCGAATGAATTGTCACTTCGACTCAAATTCACTTCACATCACGCTCTGTTACACCTTTGTGGGTAGTGCATTGGTCGTACCCTCCCGGTGATCACTACGCGAATAGTCCACAACCAGCCCCCCTAAGAAGCCAACATGCATGGTGGTCGTTTTTTTGTATATATACTATGTGTTTTGCCTGCTTATTGTTTCCCATTTTTTTTTCCCTGTGTTAGTGGGGCTGATTATTTCGCTTAAAACCCGCAGCCTGAATTACAAAAAAAGTTGGGAGGTGTTAACACCTTCCCTCCCGAACCAGGGTGGTTACCAGTTGTTCACCTGCAAAACGTGATGAAGTCGCAGGCAGCTCAGGGAGGTCACTCGGTTCCTGCGCAACCACTCTGGTCGAGGTGCGCACACCAAACTCGAAACATGTAACTCAGGTCGACAGAAACTGCCTAGTCTGATCAGCTAGAGCCGCAGCCATAGCTTAGAACAGCTAGGCTCCAGCCCCATTCCAGCCCCAGGTCTCTTATTTCCGCCTTACTCTTTAGGACTATTACTCCATTCCGTAAATGCCAGGGATAAACTTTTCGCTATTCTAGGGCACGTTTTTACTCGATCGACATAGCTAGCCGTGCCCATGGATGCACATAGGCTCGTCGCTCTGGTTGCACCTCACCATCGCCCACCGCATCGATGTCGCCCCTGTTCATAGCCGCAGCGTCCTCTCTGTCCGCGTTTCAAAGATTTTATTCTATTACTTCGTCCCATTCGCTTCCTCTCCCCGATCCCCTTCCGTCCCACACACGCACTCCCCTCCATCGCTCACGCATCCTCGCTCCAACGAGCACGCTCCCTCCCCTCCCGTCTCCTTTGCGCAATCCCCATTGTCGCGCACGCTCGCTTCCCAGGGTTGCGGATTACAAATTCCTTCCGTCGCCCACGCGCACTCCGTGCCCGCCGCGCGCACTCCCTTCCGCCGCCCCCGCCCAAGACCTTCCCGTCGCCCACGCTCACTCGCTTCCCATCGCCTTCGCGCAATCGTTCCGTCGCCCACTCTCACTCACTTCCGTCGCCTGCGCTCACTCCCGTCGCCCGCGCTCACTCCCTTCCCGTCGCCCACGCTCACACCCTTCCCATCGCCTTCGCGCAATCCTTCGGTCGCACACGCTCACCCCCGCTCGTCGCACACGGCCAATTCCCTTCGTCCCACGCTCACTCCTCCCCGTCGCGCACGCTCTCTCCCCATCCGTCGCCCACGCTCACTGCCCGTACGTCGCACGCTCTCACTCCCTTTTGTCGCCCACGTTCACCCCCCTCCCGTCGCCTTCGCTCACTCTCTCCCGTCCCCTTTCTCCCTTCTCATCTCCACCCTTTCTCCCTTCTCATCTCCACCCTTTCTCCCTTCTCATCTCCACCCTTTCTCCCTTCTCATCTCCACCCTTTCTCCCTTCTCATCTCCACCCTTTCTCCCTTCTCATCTCCACCCTTTCTCCCTTCAGGCTGGAGTTAGAGTCAGCGCATGCAGCGTACGACAGGGCAACGGTTTATTTCCAGGTGCAGAGCCATCCCTCACCTCCGCATCCCTCACCTCCCCATCCCTCACATCCCCATCCCTCACATCCCCATCCCTCACATCCCCATGCCGCATCTCCCCGTCCCTCACCTCCCCATGCCTCTCCTCCCCATCCCTCACCTCCCCATCCTTGCTGCTGTTGCTGTAAATGATGCGGAAACCCGCCCTGTGTGCCCCTCCCCGCGTCACCATCCCCGCCTCTCCCCCGTCAACCCCATCCCATCCCCTGCCCTCAGGGATGGGGTGGACGCGAGGTGGAGGAGTGGGGGCGAGTCGTCGTGCTGAGTCGGGGGCGCCGCGACACCGTGGGAGGCACCATTTCTGCCCCACCCCTTTCCGCCCCAACCCCTTTCCGCCCCACCCCTTTCCGCCCCACCCCATTCCGCCCCACCCCATTCCGCCCCACCCCATTCCGCCCCACCCCATTCCGCCCCAACCCAGTCTGCCCCACCCCATCTCCTCCCCACCCCTTTCCGCCTCACTCCATTCCGTCTCAACAAGATCCCCCTGTTTCCCTTCCCGATCGCCCTCTCCCTTATTTCCCTCTATAGCCTCGATCCTATTTTCCCCCAGCCCCCTCTCCCCTGTTTACCCCCTTCCCGCCCCTTCACCATCTTCTGCAGGGACAAACGGAAGCGGGTGCTACAGCTGCTGCTGTGCTCGTGCTACAGGTGACCCACAACACAACATGCTCTGCTGTGCGGTTGTGAGCTCTGTTCTGCTCTGCAGTGCTGTGCAGTGTGGTGCTCTGCTCTGCTGTGCACAGCTACGCGAGATGCGGTGCTCTGCGCTGCTCTGGGGCTCTGCGGTGCTGTGCTGTGCTCTGCTTGACGCACACCCATCCTCTCCTCTCCCCATCCTCTCCTCTCCCCATCCTCTCCTCTCCCCATCCTCTCCTCTCCCCATCCTCTCCTCTCCCCATCCTCTCCTCACCCCATCGTCTCCTCTCCCCATCCTCTCCTCTCCCATCCTCTCCTCTCCCCATCCTCTCCTCTCCCCATCCTCTCCTCTCCCCATCCTCTCCTCTCCTCATCCTCTCCTCTCCCCATCCTCTCCTCTCCCCATCCTATCCTCTTCCATCCTCTCCTCTCCCCATCCTCTCCTCTCCCATCCTCTCCTCTCCCATCCTCTCCTCTCCCCATCCTCTCCTCTCCCATCCCAGGCGAGCATGACAGACGCCCAGACGACCTGCATGGACGTGCTGCCTTCGCTTGCTCCTGTTTTCAGCATGTCAAAGGCCCAGACGAGCCACATTGCAAAAGGGACAGGAAGATGGAAACACACAAGACTATAGCAATGGTTCGAGCTTGGTCTTTTATACTGATAATGCAAGCTTATGTCATGTGTATTACATCTCAAAGTAAATATATGTGGGTCTAAACGTTTACATGTTGTCGCCTGATTTGTATGCCGGTCTACGGTGAAACGGGTTACAAAGAAAACTACGGTAACAGAGGCTACCATAACAGCAGCATGAACAGCGACTTGAGTACAGTTTCAACATGGTGTAAGATGCCATTGGATGTCACAATGAGGACACACAGCAGCCTCAACTGAAATCAAATCGTACTGGGTTGCTCCATGCTGCAATGCATAGCTCGTGAAGAGAGGGAAGGTGGGAAGGACTGGAGAGGGAAATTAGAAACAGGGAAGGGAGGGAATGCAGGTGAGTCACAGGGTCGTGAAACCACTCCAGCTCTTCGAGTTACATGCTTGTTGAAGACAATAACAGGGTTGAAAAAGGACAAGAGAGGGGGGGAAGGGATGAGAGAGGGGAGGACGGGATGAGAGAGAGGAGGAAGGGATGAGAGAGGGGAGGAAGGGACGAGAGAGGGGAGGAAGGGATGAGAGAGGGGAGGAAGGGATGAGAGAGGGGAGGAAGGGATGAGAGAGGGGAGGAAGGGATGAGAGAGGGGAGGAAGGGATGAGAGAGGGGAGGAAGGGATGAGAGAGGGGAGGAAGGGATGAGAGAGGGGAGGAAGGGATGAGAGAGGGGAGGAAGGGATGAGAGAGGGGAAGAAGGGATGAGAGAGGGGAGGAAGGGACGAGAGAGGGGAGGAAGGGATGAGAGAGGGGAGGAAGGGATGAGAGAGGGGAGGAGGGATGAGAGAGGGGAGGAAGGGATGAGAGAGGGGAGGAAGGGATGAGAGAGGGGAGGAAGGGATGAGAGAGGGGAGGAAGGGATGAGAGAGGGGAGGAAGGGATGAGAGAGGGGAGGAAGGGATGAGAGAGGGGAGGAAGGGATGAGAGAGGGGAGGAAGGGATGAGAGAGGGGAGGAAGGGATGAGAGAAGGGAGGAAGGGATGAGAGAGGGTAGGAAGGGATGAGAGAGGGTAGGAAGGGATGAGAGAGGGGAGGAAGGGATGAGAGAAGAGAAGGGGGTAAGAAGAGAGAGGAACAGTGAGAAGAGGATAGGCGGGAAGGATGCTGGCTTAGACAGCGTGGAAGGCAAGAAGGGGGTGGACAGGGGAACCAGGGGGCGGGAACAGGGGAACCAGGGGGCGGGAACAGGGGAACCAGGGGGCGGGAACAGGGGAACCAGGGGCCGGGAACAGGGGAACCAGGGGGCGGGAACAGGGGAACCAGGGGGCGGGAACAGGGGAACCAGGGGGCGGGAACAGGGGAACCAGGGGCCGGGAACAGGGGAACCAGGGGGGGAAAACAGGGGAACCAGGGAAAACGAACAGGGGAACCAGGGGGGGGAAACAGGGGAACCAGGGGGGTGACGGAGGACATTCAGGGGAAACTGAGCTCAATCGGGGGGGGTGGGGGAAGAAACTGAGTGCAATCCGGGGGGGAAACTGAGCGCAATCAGGGGGGGAAACTGAGCGCAATCAGGGTGGGAATCCGAGCGCTCAGGGGGGGAAACTGAGCGCATTCCGGGGGGGAAACTAAGCGCATTCCGGGGGGGAAACTGAGCGCATTCCGGGGGGAAAACTGAGCGCATTCCGGGGGGGAAACTGAGCGCATTCCGGGGGGGAAACTGAGCACATTCCGGGGGGGAAACTGAGCGCATTCCGGGGGGGAAACTGAGCGCATTCCGGGGGGGAAACTGAGCGCATTCCGGGGGGGGAAACTGAGCGCATTCCGTCCGGGAAACTGAGCGCATTCCGTCCGGGAAACTGAGCGCATTCCGGGGGGGAAACTGAGCGCATTCCGGGGGGGAAACTGAGCGCATTCCGGGGGGGAAACTGAGCGCATTCCGGGGGGGAAACTGAGCGCATTCCGGGGGGGAAACCGAGCGCATTCCGGGGGGGAAACTGAGCGCATTCCGGGGGGGAAACTGAGCGCATTCCGGGGGGGAAACTGAGCGCATTCCGGGGGGGAAACTGAGCACATTCCGGGGGGGAAACTGAGCTCGACATGAATTAGAATGCAAGTTGCGACGTGGGCGGATTGGGAGATGATGCGACTGAAAACGGAGAATGAGAAGGGGGAAAGTGGCCTCCGCAAAAAGGAAGCAGCAGCGATTGAAGGGACAATAGGTGTTCGAATGGGAAGAGGAGAGAAGGCGGCGGGGTGGAAAACCAGGGCGTCGGCGCGAGAGAGGGGAGTAGGCATGGGCGGCGGGAATGAGAACGACATCGACGCAGCGACAGGTGGGAGAGGAGAGGTCGATGGGGCGAGCGATGGGGAGGGGAAGCGAGGGCGACGGGCGGGGGAAAGCGAGGTCGACGGGCGGAGGAAGAGGGGGCGACGGGCGGCAGGGCGGCGAGGGCGACGGGCGAGGCGAGGGCGGTAGGCGGATAAAGCAAGGGCGACGGTCGAGGGTCGCGAGGTCGGCAAAGTGCTAATTTCTCATCTCCTCGTGCCCATTTTTTCCGTGCTTGACACTCGCATCTTGCGCCTGCGTTTCCCTTCGATTGCATATACGCGCTGCACCTACTAATTCAGGTTGTCTGAAATGTGCTCACTAAAAAACCCTAGTGGTGTGCGATCATCAGAATCTAAAAGTGAGTGAATGAGTTGTTAGCTGTGCTGTCGCACATTTTCTCACTCTACTCCAGCACTCGTGCTGTCGCATTTTGTTTTCGCTAGCTCGCTACTTTCGCGATTCTTACAAACCTCACTCAACCCAAACCGAACCCAACCCGAACCTAGCGTTGACTCAGATTTGTAATTCAGGCTTCGGGTTTTAATGTTAAACGATACGTGTTCGTAGGCCCCTTGTCTCCCATTTACGTTTCACGTCGCGTTTCCATGAACATCCATGGCGAAAATTATGCGGGAGCCCAGTTCCAACCAATCAGAGAAGATTCTGGTCATCCGATCTGACATGAGAAACTTGTGCAACTGCCATCTCAGTTACGAGAAATTCACTTCGACTACAGTTCTTCCATTCAATCATATGGAAGTGGGGATGTCGATCTGTGACAGTGGCGAGGTTGGGCCATGTTCCTGCCCTGCCCACCAAGCCGATCTGTGACAGTAGCGAGGTTGTGCCCTGCAGTTGTTGTTCCTGCCCACCAAGCCTTTCACGGCCAGCCTAGTCGAGGGGGCTCGTAAATTGGGGGGTGGTCTGATGGTGAAGCCGGAGATCTTGGGATTTGTTGCTCTCGATCCCTATCGTATTGTTGACAGTAGACTCGAATATTCTAGGGAAAGTATATCCCAGCTCCATAGTTTCAAAAATGTCTCAAATTTAGTCGTAAGTTCACTCAAAAAGTACAACTTTCTAGAAGTTTGCTCACGCGAGGCCCAGATTATGTTCAAAACCGGTCCTGTGGGACAAATTGTTTGACACGTGTCTTATTTCTTATTAGCAATTTCTGACGGGGGCAAAAAACATAAAACCCATAGGGGACCAGGACACACGTTCGGGAGGGACCAACCCTAAACACGAGGACCCGCTTGGTGTTTAGGGCTGATCCCTCCCGCAAATGTGCCCTAGTTCCCGAGGAGTTTTATTATTTTCTGCCCCTTTGAAACATTTTCCAAGCGAGATTAGACACGTGTCGAAAAATTCGCCCCACAGGACCAGTTTTGAACATACTTTGGGCCTCGCGTGAGCAAAATTCTAGAAAGTGGTACTTTTTGAGTGAGCCTGGGGCTAATTTTGAGAGAAATCTAAAAGTATGGACATGGAATATAATTTTCCAAGGAAAAATAGATTGGTTGTCCACCAACCACCTGTTCAGGGGCGTGTGCAGCTGTCGGCATCAAAGTATGTTTCAGGGGTGCCCTCACTCGAAGTCTTGTTTCAGGCGACCCACGAGTTCACCACCAATCACCAACCATTTTGCGGCTCTTTCTGCGGGTTTAGTCATTGAGCTCGCGAAACCCCGAGATGTCAGTCAGTGGTGCATTGACTCTTGACCCAGTTCTGTGCAATCCATCACCGTTTCACAAATTGGTGATGGTGAACCTGACACCCCCTGTGGGTGCTTGTTGGCCTGGCTGGTCCTTCCCTTCCCCGTTCTCCGCGTACAGTATCTCCATTTGCTCTGCACTTCAGCATTCATGGCAGCTTCGCTTCCAGTCTCGCTTTCGCCTACACCTCCATCTCAGCTCTGCTGCTCTTCCTAGAACAACCCCGTCAACCTGTGCAGTTCCGAGCGTCGGGTGAACGGGAATGGGTGTGCTAGATTGGACCCTAAACCAGAATTTAGGAAACACGCGTCCGCAAAACCATTAGGCCTTGTCGCTCTGATATTTTCCCAGCTGGTTAACATATCTGACGTCAGCTGACTAACTTATTCCAAGCTAGCGAGTCACCGCCGGAAGTTCCTGGTTGGCTGGAAATTGGCCTCGGGAGCAGGATGGCGGACACTCGTTTGCAGACTCTGTTGAGCACTTTGTGCGACAAAGGCGGGTGGACGTACGCCGTCTTTTGGCGCGCTCCCGAACTGCACTGCACGTCACAAGTGTAATGCCCCATCTCTTTAGTGTGTGTCCCTCCTTCGCCGACGCTGCTCCTCACAGGCGTTCCGGTCCTGGCAAGATAGCTTTTTTACCACTTGCTTCGACATACGTTGTAGAAAGTAGTTCATTCGTCGCTCAGTCTTCTTCTCTCAGTGTCGTTCTGATGTAAGGGTTTCGCTGAATCTGTGAGACTCTCTGTCGCGGTAGCCAGGTCTCAGTCACCGACGGCAGCTGACGCGGGAACATTGCTTTCCAACGGATCCGTGCTTAGCAAAAAGGGGTTCTTAGACAGTGCCATAGTTAGGGTTTTCGATATCGAGCCGCGGTCCCCTTCCGAGGCGTTCTCACACCTGGCACTTTAGAAAATAATGGAGATATCTAGCTATAGTTGGTTGACTCGTGGTAATGCTCAGCGTTAACTTGTGAGACAGGCTTCTCTCTAGGGATGCTCCCGAATTCTGTCAACTCCATTGCAGATTCTTAACGACATAAGCGTACCGCTGGCCCTGGAGATAGTTTTCTTGCTATATTCCCTCTCTTTCGCGTCCGCCGTCTTTTGCTATAATGACAAAGGTCGACCTGAGTGGATGGATTTGAGTGACCCGACATTAGCTTCCTTCTCGCCATGGCGGCTTTCCGCTACTCGTTAGTTACTTTCAGAACCGCTCCTGCGCGAGTTCACGAACGTGCTCGTTCCACGAAATCTCCGCGAATCGGCTTTCTCCCCTATTTCCGTGCAAAAGCCATCGCCATCTAATGTTTTTCGTGCGATCATCCCCTTTCCGCCTCCATTCCCCATCATCGTCAATGCATATTCCTTGTCCTAGTTCAATTGTCCCCTTGCAATCTTCACTTTTCCTCCTTCCCCCACTCCCCCCTCCTCCTGCCCTCCTCTCCCCCCTTTCCCCATCTCCCCCTTCCCCCCATTCTGGTCTCCCCCACGCAGAGCGGCGCTGACGTGGAGGCGGCTGTTCGTGTGTGCATTCAGTTGCCTCCCACTACCGTCATCACGACTCCCCCCTATTCCTCCTCCCCTCTCCCCTCTCCCCCTTCTCCGCTCTCTTCTCCCCCTTCCCCCCTCTCCCCTCCCCACTCCCCCTTCCCCCCCCCACTCCCCCGTCGCCTCTCCCCTTTCCCACTCCCCCCTCCCCCCCTCATGCAGAGCTGCACTAGCGTGGGAGGGCGGCTACTTTCTGCTCACGAACGTGTTCGACCAGAAGCAGACGAGCGGCGCGTCGTTGACGGAGGCTGACGTGGCTCGCATGCTGGCGCTGCAGGAGGAATTCACCGCCATGCGCTCTCACCGCTACCCCTGCCACACCGGGTGAGTGAAAGAGGAAGCACCGCTATCCGTGCCATAGCGGGTGAGGGAGGGAGGGAGGGAGGGAGGGAGGGAGGGAGGGAGGGAGGGAGCACTGCTACCCATGTCCACTCCCGATGCCCTGTCCCGCTTCCCCCTCTCTGATCCCTCCCGAACACCCTTCTGCCTGCAGGCTGCTGGGCAGGGTGGCGATGACAGGGGGATACCGGCTGCTGTGTGAGCCGGTCAAGTCACGCGCCATCAGAGGCATGGGGCGCCTGCACCTGGTGAGACTGGCCGCGTGCTGTGATCGTTAGATTTTTCTGGCAAGATTTATAAGGAGTGGGCGCCTATCTCGTAAGCATGTGTTTTTAATAAACCTTCGAATATGTTAAGGTGTTATGGCTTATGCATTGCCTTTTTTTATCTCGTAACCGTAACACGCACTCAGTCCTGTGTTACCATGCTATGCTGTGCCATGCCACACCATACCATACGGTGCCACACTATGCCATACCATGCCACACCATGCCATACCTCGTCATACAATGCCATTCCACGGTGGAGCAGGATGGCAGCAAGGACGAGGAGCAGCCCGAGGAGTGGGACAGGCAGTTCGCTGCAGGGGTCAAGGTGAGGGCCATCCTCACACACCATCCTCTCCCCTCTCCGTTTCTTTTCCCTTGATTTCATCACTTGAAACTTCAATCCTCTCTTCAGATCCATCGCTGCTTCTTCCTTCCGCATCGCCTCATTCATCCTATGTATACATCGTCTCCTTGTGGAAATGCCACCGCTCATTTCCACTCCACTTCATCCCACTCCTCTCCACGCCACCCCACTCCACTCCACTCCACTCCTCTCCACGCCATGCAGGTCATAGCGTTGATAGGGGTGCCACAGGGCGTGCTTCAGATAGCCGCCTGCACGCCGGTATGTCTCCAGTGCCCCACTGTGCGGTATCTTGCCAATCATACGCCTCCCATTCAGTCACGTCCCCACATCACACTCCTCCCCTCTGGTTTCGTTCCTGGTTCATTCTCATTCACCTCCCTCATTCCCTCCCCCATCCCCTCCCCCACTCTCTCCCCCAATCTTACCCCCACTCCCTCCCCCAATCTTACCCCCACTCCCTCCCCCAATCTTACCCCTTTCCCCTTGGCACTTCATTTTTCGTGCTGCAGATCAAGCCCACCAATGAGATGATTGCAAAGCTCCGAACCAAATTTGATGAGTTTCGGAAGCCCCCCCGAGTCACTCCCTTGTTAAACCTGCAAGCTGCCCTTCCAAACCAATCCATCCATCCAAACCAATCCATTCTTCCAAACCAATCCACACTTCCCCCAAATACCACCTCTGCTAACCTCGGCTGCCCAACTGCTCCCGGCCAATCACAGCCGAGCGCAGCCAAGTCGGCAAACATTTCACCAGAAGACCTTATACTTTTGAAAAAGCTCTTGGGCAGCTCTGGAGAAAATCTTACAGCTGCCCAGGCGTCTCAGCTCCTGGCCCAGCTTGCGCTGCTATCTGGAAAAACACCTGACGCACAGGAAACCCTAAGAGGGGGGCAAGACGGGATGAGAGTAGAGAGGCGAGAGTGTATACCTGGCTTGCAGCCCTCGCATCAACAGCAACAGCTCCTTCTGCAGCAGCAGCAGCAGAAGCAGAAGCAGGAGCAGGAGCAGCAGCAGCTGCTGCAGCAGCAGCAACAGCAGTGGCAGCAACAGCAGAAGCAGCAGCGCCTTCAGCAGCTGCAGCAGCACTTTCAGCATCAGGGACGGACGGCGAAGTGGGGCGAGGGGCGTAGGCAGGATGCCGCCAGTGGTTCTGCTGCTGCTCCCGCTGCTGTTACAAATGGGCCGGAGCAGGGAAGGCCAAGGGAGGGCGGAACTGGGGCAGGCTTAGCAGGGGGAGGCGGATTCGGTTCCTTGGCAGGTGCTTTGCAGAGGGAGAATTGGGAAGCGGGGAACGGGATAGGGACCAGTGGGCCAAATGGGCCAAATGGGTCAAGTGGGCCAAGTGAGGCGGGGCTAGGGTTTGCAGGTAAGGCCATGGGGGAGAGAGGGAAGGATGTGTGCGGTGGTGGTGGTGATGACGAGGCTGCTGAGGAGGGCACAGGGGAGTGGCGGCCGGGGGAGAATGTGGGGGATAGTAATGATGGAGGGGGGTGTGTGTGGGGTATGGAGGGAGGGAGGGGGGCGTGTGAGGGAGGGGCAGGGCAGGACGTGTATGAGTTGTCGTCGGGGCCAGGAGGGACGGATATGTCGGTGTGCGGAGGGGAAGGTGACGCCGGGGAAGGAGGTGCTGCCAGTGGTGACACTGGTGGTGGTGGTTCTACCAACGGTGGTGCTATTGGTTATGGTTCTGGAGGGGCAGATGGGGCAGCGCCAGGAGCAGATGCAGGAGCAGGTGCACCAAGAGGGGCAGCAAGAGGGACAGCAAGAGGGACAGCAGCGGCGCCAACACGTGTACTGACAGGGCTTGTAGCAGGGGCACTAGCTGGGGCACCTGCAGTTTCACCTGAAATGAGTCCCAAGCCTTGCTCCCCTGTCACTCTTCCCCCCCTTGCTCCCACCCGCCCTCGCATGTCCCCACCTGACGTGCCTTCTGCTCAGCATCTCAATGACTCTGCTCTCACTGCTACTGCTGCTGGTGATGCCGCTGCTGCCAGTGCTGCCAATGCTGTTGCTACTGCTAATGGCGCTGCAGCAGCCGCAACCCCTCCTCTCCACCCCACAGCCTCACCTGCAGACCTGGCTGAATTCGACGCTCTCTGTGTCACCCTAGACCACTCCCGCACCTTTCCCACAACAGGACAACTGCTGCCGCCTGGACTCACCCTCATCGCCACGTCCCCACCTCATGCCGCTTCCCCAGGCTCCCCGTCCGTGGCAGCACCCAACGCACACACCCCTCCATTCAGTGCCAGTAACCACATCAGTAACACCAACCACTTAAGCAACGGTCAGCAGCAGCATCAGCACCAGCAGCACACGGGCGTGCACGCGACGGTGTCAGCAGACAAGCCCCCCTCCCACCGCCGGTCAAGGTCGCTCGCCCAGCAGCGCCGCCACACCTTCTCCAGCGCCGACCGCGCCGCCCTCGCCCGCCAGCTCTCCCCCTCCCGCGCCCTTCTAGGGGGCGGATTCCGCCTGGGGGGGGCGCTGGGAGGAGGCGGAGTAGGGGATGGGGGAGTGGGCGGGGGAGGCGGGGTAGGAGTGGGAGGCGGAACGGGGGCAGGAGGTGGAGTGGGAGGGGGTATGGGTGCATCTGGTCACAGCCATCCGTCTGCTGCTCTGAGCAGAATGGTATCAAGTCCTCTATTCAAACGGAGCCTCAGTTGCACGAGTCCCATCCAGGGCATGACCCGAGCAGCAGCCGCCCATGCTGCTGCCCACATGCGCCGCCACTCCTTCTCCACCTCGCCCTCCTCCTCCCCCTCCTCTTCCGCCAACACCACCTCTGCTGCCAGGGCGCTGCATAGAGTGGCGTCTCCCACTACTAGCTCTGGCGGGGGGGCCATGGGGGGAAGCATGGGGGGAAACATGGGGGGAGGGAGGCATGGGGGTTTCTCAAGCCGGCATGTGTCGAGTCTCTCGAATCCAGAGTTTCTGTCTGAGTTTCTGAATTTGTGCCCGTTTGGTGGGTCGCCGAGGGGGGTGGGCGCGGGGCGAGGGAGGGAGATGGCAGGAGGGGGAATAGGAGGGGGTATGGGAGGGGGAATGGGAGTGGGTATGGGAGGGGGGATAGGGGGGACAAGGTTGGGAGCAGGGATGGAAGGAGGGGGGGCATCTGCAGGGGCAGGGGGGACGCTAACAGGCGATGCAGCAATGCAAGCGAACCAGGGAGGGGTTGAAGGAGAGAGGGGAGGAGAGGGACGAGGAGATGGGTGGGGAGATGGAGGGGGCACGGAAGGGGGTGTGGGAGTGGGAGGGGAGGTGGGAGGGGTGGATGAGATGGAATGGCTACTGCAGGAGATGATAATGATGCATGGGAGTGCTAGTGGTGCTGCCGCCATCCTTGACGGCAATCCTGGCACAGATGCTGGTATCGCTGATGGCACTGGTATCGCTGATGGCACTGGTACCGCTGATGGCACTGGTCTCGCAGCTACTGCATATGCTGCTGCTCTTGACGCGTGCGGCTTGGCTGAGGGGGATGCTTGCCTAGACGTTGACATGGGGATGGGGATGAGTGAGGGAGAGATGGGCATGGGTATGGGAGGAAGAGGGGATGGGGAGGAGCAGGGTGTATTGATGGGTGGAGAGAGGTGGGGAGGTATGGTTGTCATGGATGGTGCAGGTGGAATTGATGGGATTGGTGGGATGGGGGGGATGGATATGGCGGAAGAAATGGGTGGTAGTGCAGACGGGATGGGGGAACGAGGAAGGGGTGCTGCTGCTGCTGGTGGTGCCAGCGGTGGTGCTGCTGCAGCTTCTACTGCGGATGGTGCTGCTGGTGCTGGTGGTGCCAGCGGTGGTGGTGGTGCTGCTGTGAGTAATGCGTTGAGGTTGGCAGAGAACGCCACTCTCCAGATGCTGCTGCAGCGCTGCAACGGAGACCCTGCTGCTGCTGCTCTGCTGCTCGAGAACCTGCTGCTGCAGAAACAGAAGGAGCATCATAATCATCATCATCAGCAGCAGCAGCAGCAGCAGCAGCAACAGCAGCAGCAGCAGCAGCAGAGGGGAGGCATGGGTGGGAGCTCACGGCCAGGCATAGTCAAGTCAACCTCACACTCCCAGCCCTCCCGCACACTCCACGCCCTGCACTCTTCCTCCTCCCCTCCTTCCGCATCCCCCTCCTCTGCCTCCCCCCCACATGCACTCCCCCATGCACCCCCACATGCATCCGCGCATGCCCCCCCCCTTCCCCCCATCCATGGATCCGTGCACCCCCTGCCCCCCTCACACTCCCGCGCCCTCCCAGCAGTTCCCCTCCCCCGCCCCGCCTCCCGTTTCTTCCCCAAATCCGCCTCTCTGCCTGGAAACCTCCCCCGTCCCCCTCCACCTGCTGCTGCTGCTGGTAGCGGCGGTGGTGGTGGTGGTGGGGTTGGGGGGGAACGGGTTGCTGCTAGTCCACTAGGTAGGCAACTGGTGCAGCCGGTGCTGCAGCAGCAGCAGCAACGGCAGTTATTACAGCAACAACAGCAACAACGTCAACAGTTGCTGGATCAGCAGCAGCAGCAGATGGTGCAGCAGCTGAGACAGAAACAGGCCGCACTGCAGATTCAGCAGGTGCAACAGCAGCAGATGCAACAACAGGTGCAACAGCATCAGCAACAGCAACAGCAGCAGCAACAGCAACAGCAACAGCAACAGCAGCAGCAACAGCAACAGCAGCATCAAGAGCATGAATGTCTATCTATGGAAGAGCAGCAGCAGCAGCAGGATCTTGTACTAAGTTATTTGGTATCCCGCAAGCAAACTCCCGATGCTACTGCTCAGTCCCTGGTCGCAAGCCTTACCCCTGCAGCCCGTGCTGACCTGCTGTCCCAACTGCTGCTGGAGCAGAATAGACCGGCAAACACGCCGTTAGGAGCACACGCACATGCACATGCACAAGCACAGGCACAGGCACATGTCGAAACACAGGTACACGTGGCAGAAGCACGTGTGGCAGGGGCACAGGAACTTAAAGCACGGAACGGTGGGAGTATGGATCGAGGAACCTTCCACCAACCGTGTGAGGAAGCTTCCTTATCTGAGCGACTGGATTGTGATGGTCAAAGTTCCGCTGAAACACTGGGCGTCGGGTTTGGCTATCCCGATCCTAAGGGGCGCAGTGCTTCCGAACCTGGATCTGCAGGTTGGGACAAGAGAGGGGGAGTCGGTGCCGAGCTCGACGGTGCGGGTTGGAGAATCGGAGAGGGCTTGATGCAGCATCAGAATATTTATGAAGCAGGAGGAGGTGTTGCAGCAGCAGCAGCAGCAGCAGGAGGAGCAGGAGGAGGAAGAGGAGGAGGAGGAGCGGCAGCAGCAGCAGCAGCAGAAGCAGAAGCAGCAGCAGGTGCCGGAATGGCAACAGCAGCAGCAATAGGAGAACTAGAAGCGGAACTAGCAGCAACAGCAGTAGCAGGAGCAGTAGGAACAGAAGCAGGGCCTGTGTTTTCTCCTGGACCAATAATCGCAGGAGACTTTTCAGGTGTACAGGGCGGACTAGACGTGCTTATAGAGGGCGGTGCAGCCAGCGATTTTCAAATGGCTGCTCCTGACGGCGTGGGAGGGTTGATGGGGACAGGGATTGGGATGGGAGGAGAGGAGGAGTTGGGAGAGGAGTGGGCCATGTTCCTAGATGTGATGGATGCACCACCAATACTGGATGATTTGGATGAGGTGAGTCGGAGGGGTGGGGAGGGCGGGTGAGGAGGAGCTCGGAGATGAGCCATGTTCTTAGATGTGATGGATGCACCGCCGATGCTGGATGTTCTGATCAGTTGAGAACTTTTGAAGCATGCATGACCTTCTGAAAGGTGGTTCTTGGATTTCATGTGTGCATTGTCAGTGTTTTAACTATGTGGATGAGATGAGGTGAGTGAGCGGGGTCAGGAGGGGTGTGGAGGAGTTAGGCGAGGAGTGGGCAATGTTAATAGATGTGTATGCACCACCAATACTGGATGATTTGGATGAGGTGAATAGGAGGGGTGGGGAGAGGGGTGAGGAGGAGTGAAGAGGAGTGAGGACGAGGGGTGAGGACGGGTGGGAGAAGTGAGAGGTAGGGGTGAGGTAGAGGAGGGGTAATCGGAGGGAGAGGCTGTTAGGGATGAGAAGGTGCTTGGTAGCCTGGTGCCATTTGGGTGCTTGCTTTCATGGGTGCTTGCTTTCATGGGTGCTTGCTTTCATGGGTGCTTGCTTTCATGGGTGCTTGCTTTCATGGGTGCTTGCTTTCATGGGTGCTTGCTTTCATGGGTGCTTGCTTTCATTGGTGCTTGCTTTCATGGGTGCTTGCTTTCATGGGTGCTTGCTTTCATTGGTGCTTGCTTTCATGGGTGCTTGCTTTCATTGGTGCTTGCTTTCATTGGTGCTTGCTTTCATTGGTGCTTGCTTTCATTGGTGCTTGCTTTCATTGGTGCTTGCTTTCATTGGTGCTTGCTTTCATGGGTGCTTGGCGTGTGAGTGGCCTGCTGAGCGGGTCAGCCATCAACCATCCCTGTCTCTCTACCGGTCATTTCATCAACTCATCAACCCAGCTTCTTGTTCTGGGGGTGTGTCTCTTGCTGATCTGTTGATTGCCGTGCCACTCTCCATGTTCGCTGTCCCATGTGTTCAAAGGCGATTTGTTTCCTAAAGATAACAGTAAGAGGTTCGACTTACTGCACTGCACCTGCACTCGTTCCTTTCAGGTGATGGGCTCCACTATTGCATGACTCGTTACACTTTCGCTGCATATTTGAAGCTGGTACAGGGACATGGTCTTCGCAGGTTACGCCATAGGCTGAGAGAAAAAACATGGTACAACATCGCAAGGGTATCGCGTTGCATGGCCTCTCGTGTCACACGTCACCTTCCCCTAAAAAGTGCTAAGCGTGTACATTGGGGAGGAGTAGGCATATGTTTGTCATTATATTGAATGGACCTTTTTAGTCCTCGACTTTCCAGTATCTATTAGTGATTGGCTCTAGACTCGAACAGGGTGTTCCACAAAAAATATGCAAGTGTGATACATGTGCTGATGTCGGAAAACAGATTTGTTCATTTGCTCACCCAACCAGGTTCCGCATATGCTCCCATCCACGTTTGTTTTTCTAGTTTTCTGGTGTCTGGGAGGGTCCGTCGTGTGCGGGCCCTCCCAGCCGTGCTGGTGGCTGTGTGTGTTTTCATAGAGAGCTCCCCAGCCGTGCTGGTGGTTATCCATTGGATAAGGAAATAACGTGTTTCCTAAGTACCCCTTTGGGCTGTTGGTTTGTGTTGACAATATTCTAGCATCTCTATGATTTGCTGTAACTGGTTACGACCATATGTAACCTTAAACTTAACAGTCGTGTGCGGGATGAAACCTACATGGTTCCAGGTCTTTTTGGGTATGGTATGTATTGGCCAATGTCATTGTCAAGGTATCTGACAATGCTCTGACAAGTTTCAGCATCCAACAAAATCACTACTGGTGAATGTGCTCAAATCTCCACTCGTCAGAGCTTTGTGTCAGCGAAAGATTTAAACTAACCAATACGGGACCATGCCTCCGCGGACTTTTAGGACCAGTCGACGTGTCCTGGGGGACCTGCCATGTCAAAGTTGTGAGCTAGGTTCAACCTATAAGTGCAGGGACTCGATGAGTGTATTCTAGAAGCAACGGTGGGTTTGTCGTCAGATAAACAGAGTGGGAGTTCTGAAAACTCTGGGAAAGCTGTGATCCCACAAGGTACCAGTGGTGCAAGGCTTCGCCGGAAAAATAATGGGTTGGCTGATCTGGGGTTTGGGGGTTGGCGGAAATAAAAAGCATGCTGACCGTGAAGGACAGCATTAGGCGGGTCCTCAGTTTAACTACCCAGACTGACACCCAGGCTCACTAACTTCATTCATGTTAACATTTTTTCAGGAACTAACTTCATAGTTGAAGGTGAAAATGTAGCGACTCTTGAATGTTTGGCGATGTGACTGCCTCAGAATGCTGTGATTACAGGGCCCTGTATAACCTCAGAATCGAGAGTTTCGGGAATTTCGAGTTAGAACTGTGAAAATTTAGGATATTTTCCTACTTGCTGAGCAGGATATGAAACACAGTGCACGCAATGCACCTACAGAAGAGTGTTCATTTCACATTCATATTTCGCGAAGTTGGACACCCTGGCAAGTGATCAACCACAAAAGTTGTTGACACGTATGCACGTCGTTTCAGGAACGGCGTGTTCATAGCGAGGCTCCGGCTACTGTTGGCGGGATAATTAGCGTGGGGTGTTACTTGTTCCTGAATGCGGATGCCAAAGAAACATCGCGAGAGTTCGACTGGCAATGTGATGTCTGAAGATTGATGTCGCCACTTTCGTGAAGAGTTCGACAAGCTACAGTGTGTCGCCCGCTTCGTACGTCCGGCGATGTCAACCTCCAGACGTCCAGGAACGGTCATTCATAGAGCACGCAGTATTTGAGGTGGTGGGTGAAATGTAGTAGGGATGTGGGGCTTTGGATTTGGGTTATTCTACGAATAGTCACTAAACAGGGCGCGCTAACACAAATAGTCGAAGGTTTATCGAAATCGGTCATTGAAACGGGCGAATCATCATGGATGGTCACTGATTTATCACGGATAGTCACTCGTCACCCCATGATGCTATCACGAATAGTCACTGAAAGAAACGCCCGCCCGAAAGTTGAAATGCTTCCCCATGCGTTATCACACTGTTGCGATTTAGGGACTATTAGCGCGTTAATTTGTTTGTCGTTTTCGTTGCAGCACTGTTTCTGTCTCGTGGCGCCATTTTGTCTGTAGTGTTGCGAGACGTTGTTACTGACGAAATACTTTTCGTGACCACTCTTGCGAAGTCGTTAAAAGTCTCGCGAAATTTCTTGGCAACATCGGAAAGTTAGCTCAATTGTCCACTGTTTGATTTATGCATAATGTTCTAAGAACAGCACTTTTAGACGGGTGAAACTCGACGTTTCTTTATGTTCCAAGGAAAAACCTTGAACCCCTTCGGATGGGATTTTCATCGGGCGGAATCAACCCTAAACACATTTCGCATGGTGTTTAGGGTTGATGCTTCTCAAAGGGTGTGCCATACTATAGGGGGTTCCATTCTTCAGTCCTAGATTTCAGGCGAGAATCATGCGAGAGGTAACAAGCAATCGAAATTAAGATTCCTCAAAATCTCCACAGTTATTCCTCAGGGAGTTTCAACTTTCCTTGAGGGTTTCATCGAGTGACCACTCGTGATAGAAATGCGGGGCAGTGAGTGACTATCCGTGAGAGTAGCATGATCATCTGTGATAGATTTTCCCGTCTCGATGACCGTTTGTGATAACCCTATAACCATTCGTGATAGCGCGCCCTTAGTATTGACTATTTGTATAATAACCTTTGGATTTGAACAAGCACAGATTCCTATGACGCTGGAATTCGTCATCACCGCGTAAACTGCTCGTGAAAAACCGAGCTCAATTTGTTTTGCAGCTGTCCAGCCAAATCCGAGCAAGGTAGGTAATCGCACCTGGCCTAGCAGGTTGTGTGAAAGGTTTTAGTTTTAAAAGTAGCAGGGTCTCGGGTTTGGAATAATACCAAAAGCATTCCCACCACCAGTATTCACACATGAAGCCCAGCTCCTCTTGTCTGAACTGGTCTGTTTCTTCGTTTTCTCCATCATTTGTGGGGATTCCTGGTGTCCACCTTTCGGCGCTGAAGGCTTGCAGCCGCAAAGGCAGGCCTACTTTCACATGGTGCGGCAATGATTGCAACGCTCAAAGTATTTCCTGATTCCCCAGGAAGTCTATCAGTGCTTTTCGGCCTTCCACTCGGTGGTGGAAAAACCAGAACCGCGAATTGGGTCCACTGCTTTGTTCAGAGAGACAGCTTTGGGTGCGCTCGGGTTGCGACAAGCTGGACGGTTGCAGAACAACAAGTTGGGATTGTCGAAACCGAAGTGCTACCCTCCAGCTTTCTTCCGAAGCCAGGTCAAACCTTCATCCAGCTCGTCATCCCACTCATCCATTGTTCCCAGCCAACCGAAACAGTGTGATGCCTCAAGTCCGCAGCTGCCTCAACTGTGCTTGAGGTGTCTCTGACCGGCCTGATGAGATGGCATGGCACGGGACGGGATGTGGTGGCTGGCAACGAAAACCTGACGCCAATTGACTGTTCCTCAAACAGCCATCGTTACCTCATGCTTCGAAGATTCTGAGATTTTGTTGATGACGATTGTCATGGTTCCACTTTCCGCCCATTGCGTCGTTGTTCAGGAGGAGCAAGAAGTTGGGCCACCGCACCGTACACTCAGACGAATGTGTTTTTTCTCAATTAAGGACGATAGAGAAACACATTGGCTTAGGAGGAAGTTCAGTTGAAGTCTTAGAATTACCGTGGGTATTGGTTCCTCCAAGCAACTCCTGAGTCCTGACATCGCGGTTTGTTTCTACAACTCCCTATTCCGACCTGACGTGCAGCGAGAATCTGTTTCCAGTCTTCAAGCTAGGGTTTTCAGTAACCAGTATTCTAATTGTTTCCAAATAATGGCTACCACGGCCAAGAGTTCGAGAATGGTTTTAGCTCAGAAGCCGATGTATCTGTTAAGACAGGTTCTTAAAGACATTTGCTTACAAAACGGCTGGACGTACTCGGTATTTTGGAGGTTGAAACGCCGCGCAGTACCCCGGACACAGCAGAGGTAGGGATACAGCGGTTATAAACGTTCTAGGGTTTCTTGACGAAATCG